GTTTTCGAATCGTTTTCACTGTCCACACGTATCCGGAAATTTCATGATCCGCCCTGATGCACGCTAGTGCCTAGTCCCTTTGACGGATAGTTTTTCTTATTGAACATGCGCAAAATCGTGTTTACGTCATCGTATTCGAAAATTTGCGGATACGACCGTCCACACGTATCCGTATTCGTAGCGTATTCGAAAATTTCCACTCTGGAGACCGTTTTAGAAAATTTCCGGTTACGGGAAAAAAAAATTCCCGACACATGTGGACGCAACCCGTATCCGAAAAAAAAGATTCCGGATACGTGTGGACGGGGCCTGAATAAATCGAAAATCAAACTTCAAACTTCGAGCTCTGAAACATTTGACCTCTGGGTTGAAACTAAGCCCAGTTTAAGTCAGGGTACAAATAACTAAATGATAACATGGAATTTAGCCTTCGTTATCTTACGAGGTAGAGGAATGGAACAACTTGCAGAATAAACTGAGGCCCCGTCCACACGTATCCGCAAATTTTTTTTTGCGGATACGGGTTGCGTCCACACGTGTCCGCAAATTTTTGTGTCCGTATCCGCAAATTTTACGAAAACGGATAGGTGTGGACGGTGAAAACGATTCGAATACGCTGCGTGTGGACGCAAACATTTTCGTATCCGCAAAAAATAATTTGCGGACACAAAAATTTCCGGATACGTGTGGACGGGGCCTGATAATGACTAGTGATTACTAGTGGTTACTTGCAAAATAAACTGATAATGACTATTGGTTACTAGTGGTTACTTGCAAAATAAACTGATAATGACTATTGGTTATTAGTGGTTACTTGCAGAAAAAAACTGATAATGACTATTGGTTACTAGTAATCATTTGCAGACTAATCACTATTAACCCCTAGTCATGCAGAGAAAACCTAACCCTTGACCTCCCACCCACAAGTTCAGTAAACAAAAAATCAGATCCCAGCAGGACGTATGTATCAACTGAAGCCTTACCTTGGAAGCGTTGTGGAGAGAACTTGATCTCTCACTGAACTAAAGATATGATCAATGTCGACATCATGTAATCTATAACAACAAAATGTACATGTAAATCGTAAAATGATGCACAATTGTATGTTTATATCAAGGTGACTGGCTACATTTGGGAAAAAATCTTAAACTTTTAAACTACGAATTTTTAATTGAAATTCAATGGTGATTCCAAACATGAACTAAAGAAAGATGGGGTGTCCCAAGCACTTTTTCGATATAACCAGCATTTAATGGTTTCCTACGTGCAAGTTAGAAGCAAAAATTGCACAACCGGAAGTGATCAGAAAAAAATCAAAACTCACAAGATCATAGCTCTTAGCAAACTATATAATTGCAGAAATGCCGGCTAGTGAATCATTCTCCAATACCACATGGATACTTTTGACAAAAAGACAAAGAAATACCTTGTTTTGCTATATTTTGTCCTTTCATAGTCTCCCCCACAGCCGCTTTCAGTGTCGTCACGCAACGCTTTCTCCCCTGCGTGACGACATTGAAAGCGGCTGTGGGGGAGACTAGTCCTTTCAGCGCTCTTGAAAAGTCTCATAAAGTTGAACAAAAATTCTTACAAAAATCTCATTTTTTGCGCGTTAAAAAAATTAATTAAATTTTTTTTAATGGTATAAGTAAACATAGAATTTTAGAAGTTTTTTTCAATGAACTTATAAAAAAATTAGAGCCCCATGCAAATTTTGAGGGTTGTATGGTTCTTCAATAAAACTTTGAAGGTTATTCAGTACGCAGTAACCTTAATACAAAGTGGTGATATTCAGTTCTGGGTATGAAAAATAATGAATGTTACCTCGAGGTGTCATCTAAACTTGGACCAATCACATGAAGCAGACTTGAAAGACAGACAACAAATACATGCAGTTCTTCTTCAGATTTATCCTGTGTAAAAAGATTTCAAAAGTTAAAAATAGAACGATTCTGATGCCCACCAATCACTAGCCGCTTGGCTCAGTTCGTTGAGTTTCAGAATACTGTATAACTTGGGGTCTCCCCCGCAGTCGTCACGCAACACTAGACTGTGAACGTTACCAGACTTTTATACGGGAGGTCGCCTCTCATGACGTAATCACCTTTGATTATACATATTAATAGAAAGGGTATATAAATTATAAATCATAAATCATAATGATTTCCAAGAATTAAAGGAACACAATTGCGTACAACAAACCTGATCAAGACAGCTCCACTTTTCAACGCTCTCTTTTAAGATAGTATTCACAACTGACTTGAAGCTAAGAAATAAAAAGAAAAAGCCCTTAAATATGAATTTCCCTTAGGGTAATCTTAAAGACATTTTCGAAAAAGACTGTGGATGATCGAGGAGTTAAAATAGTCATTCAGATAAGTCAAACGTGAGGGTAACACTGTTGGACATCAAGGACGTTCATGGGCAAACAGTCCCATCGTACGTACGTACGTACGTACATACATACATACATACATACATAATTAATTTGTTAATGCAGGTTAAATTAAAGGCAGCTGTAGCTGATGTGGACCTGCTAAACTACTATTACAACAAAATAAATATGATATACTAAGGGTAAAATAGAATACAATAAATAACTACTAAGCTAGATAAATAAGAATAAGTAAAATAAGTAAAATAAGCTAAAAAATTAAATATTAAATGCATAGGTCAAGGGCAATGAAATACTAAAAAAGATAAAATAGTATTGCATTCTAAGAATATTCATATTCTGGATTCTTATTAGTGATAGTTGAAGTCGCGGAAATGAATATTATTCAGTAAAGTTTTATTTTTCTTAGGAGGTGCTTTAAAAATACTTAAATTTTGAGCTTGCTTTACATTATCTGGAATAAAATTTCAAGAAAGAGCCCCCCTGTATCTCAGCGAAGTTCAATTATGACACCTAAACACTTAGTTTCAGTTACAAAATGTAAAGCCTTATTTCCTAGAGTAACAGGTTTAAGGTTTACCTTACCTTTCATCAAGATCATTTTCACTTAGGAAAAGATTCAAGAACATTTCTCCCATGAAGTTACTAAAGCGCTGACATCGCTGCTTCCAGTCACTGATAGTATAATGCTGTCAAAACATTTATTGCATGCTATTATTACCTGTATCTAATTACAGGTGGTATTCTATTGAATACTGTTATGTTGTATTCATGTCTTTCAGTTGTTCATGAGGCTCTCAAATTTAATGTTCACCAGTTCCCTGCCTAGTACAGGTTTCCTGTGGTATTGACATAAACTACCCGGTAACAGTCACCCCCTCTTAACAACACTGGATCCCGGATCTGCCCCTGTCAAGCTACCCAAAGTTTAAATCCAAACACAAAATTTCCCAATAAATGATTAAATATGGCAATTGTAAACCAAATATAGCATGATCAACATATTTACCTCAACAATGTTATCTCTGAATGTGGTCACAACATCATGAAAATAATTTGAAAATCTTAAGATGTCCAAGCCTGAATATTTTAAGAATAAAAAGAAGTGACAAGTGGTATATTCCATAGAAAACATAGTATAATAATATTTTGAATATAATAATTACCTGACACTATTTATAATCATGCCTAGGCCACAATGCCTGATGGGAAGGAGGACCAAAATACCACTGAATATACAATGGCTTTCTGGATTTTGATTGGCTGTACTTGAAAAGGTTTGGGATATACAATCACTATTATATTCAACTAAGAAGCATGCAAAGCAATAAATGACATACTGATGTAGTACCCGGTAAGTAACAAATACCTGAGAGAATGTAACAAATTCTTGCACCTTGATTTTCAAAACCCTTTTTATCCAAAACTTTCTCCACAATCATTTCCAAGACCAGCATTACTTCTGACACTCCGTCAAAGTTCTTTGACAATTGGCTATCAGCAATCGAGGTACTTATATCATAACCTAGATCATCAATATTTTCTTTAGTCATTTTTTCCAAGACTTTCTTTATATTTCTTTGGAATTTCCACTTCTGCCAGCTCAATTCCTTTTTCATTGTTTTTTCATTATCCTGAGAATTCAGGGTTTTTGATACTGGTAATTGCTGTTGGTTTTTAGTTAGTCGATGTTGTCGCAAAACTGATGCCTGCAGCTGTGAGATGATTCCCTTGTCACTCTTAACTGGTATGGTAAATGGTATTGGGAAGGTCTGTTGGCTATTCTTTGGATCATGGAATGCACTTGGACCTTCAAGGTGCTGTTGCAGAGCTGCTGCAGCATCCTGGACTTCTTGGTATGAGCAGTCTGTGTGCTGTTTCAATCCCCTGTCCTCATGAAGTTGTGAATCATAAGAGATACCATCAGTTGATCCAAATGGAATATTGGTGGTTGTTTCTTCACTAGTTGGAATAGAAGGCCAGTTGCTTGGGATGGTCTGTTCTGAAGGTGACCATGTGTTATTTACAAGAGTGCATGAGTTACTGTACCATGATGGTTACCATTTAGGTTTACAGTCATTTCGCCCACGGACCATTTCGCCCACGCCAATTCGCCCACGCATAAAATCATCGATCATGCGTTTGCCAATTCGCCCACGTGTAGAATCACTTTAAGAAATATGTTACCATGACTAGAAAAAAGTAGTTCGTGATTTACTAACCTTACTTGACGCTTAAGCTCAAGACTTCAAAACGCAAACTTTTTATACGCCATAACGGACTCGCCTACGCTAGCTCGCTAACGAACGAAACAACTTATAAACCAATGTAAATGTCACTTTAGCCTTTTTAAACCTCAGATGAATTACTTCTAGACTTTTTTTTATTGTTATTTGGCTTATCTGACATGCCAAGGTTCGAGCTAGAAAAGCCAAAATACTTTTACGCCTATTAAACATCGATCGACAAGCGACGCCATATTGTTTTTGTGTAATCAACAAGCTTCCTAGTCGTTTATTGACGCTATCTTTACCTAGAATCCATTAGACTTTATTCTTTTCACTAATGAAGTTAAAGGAAAAGATATGGTGCTTTGAGATGGGAGATGTCGTGTGTTGCTGAATCTGACATCTACGAAAAAATATGATTTTAGACAAGCTCACGAAAACAATATGGCGTCGTTTGTCGATCGATGTTTCGCGGAAGGTATTTTGGTTTTTCTCGCTCTAACCTTGGCAAGTCAGAAGCAATAATATTAAATATGTCCTAAACATTCGATTTTTCGATGAAGAAGAAGGATATTGTAATGTTTTCAACAAACTACTCTACGGAGACTAAAAACTTATTGGTAGCGAAAAGACTCGTATGAAACACCGTAAAATGAGCTCGATCGTTCCACTCAATCGTTAACTTTTTGGCGTTTACATCAGATATTAAATGGCCTCAAATTTATTCCAGATAAAGTCGCTAGATCATTTCGTCTTAGTTTTTTAGTGCAAATAATAAAGTCTAGTGGATTTCAAGAAAAGAAAGTGTCAGTAAACGACTAAGGAAAAGCTTGTTGATTACACGAAAACAATATGGCGTCGCTTGTCGATCGATGTTTCGCGCATAAGGTATTTTGTATTTTTCTCGAACTTTGGCAAGTAAAAAATAATAAAGAATGATAAAGCTACCCAAAACACACATTTCATAGATTAGAGTATAGGGAAATAGAAAAATAAAGTCATCCGAGTCATAAGTTGGTAGAAACGGACTCGATATGGCAGCTAAGTGAACGCTGTCCTTGGTCGCGTTTAGATCTCCACTTTAACTGATCGTATCGTGAAATGATCGCTCCAAATATGCTTCAAAATCATATACAAATGTCTTTCAACAGACTATGTTTCTTTTTAACAAGTCTCATCGAAGTTTTGTTTTGGTAATTTCCAATGGTAGCGAAAGGACTTCATGATGGTAGCAAAAGGACTCCGGGTGGTAGCGAACCGACGGTAGCGAAAGTGCGTGGTAGCGAAACGACCGGTATTAGTATAAAAAGTTCGCGTTTTGAAGACTTGAGCTTAAGCGTCAAGTAGGGTTGGTAGGTACCGGTTGGTAAATCATGAACTACTTTTTTTTAGTCATGGTAACATATTTCTTAAAGTGATTCTACACGTGGGCGAATTGGCGTGGGCGAATTGGCAAACGCATGATCGATGATTTTATGCGTGGGCGAATTGGCGTGGGCGAAATGGTCCGTGGGCGAAATGACTGGTTACCATTTATAACACAACACAGCACAATGTGCAAAGCAAAGCACTGTCAGCACAGCACTGTCTGCAAAACTTATCAGCACAGCATAACACTATCAGCACAGCACAACACAGAACTGTCTGCACAGCATAGCACTGTCTGCACAGCACAGTACTGTCTGCACACATAGCACTTTCAACCAGCATAGCGCTGTCTGTACAGGACAGCATAGCACTTTCAGCCCAGAGTAGCACTTTCAGCACAGCACAGAACTGTCAGCACAGCATAGAACTGTTTGCACTGCATAGCACTGTCTGCAAAGCACAGCACTGTCAGTGCAGTGTAGCACTTTAAGCCAGCATAGCACTGTCTGCACAGCATAGCTTTTTCTGCACAGGACAGCACTGTCTGCACAGCACATCACTGTCTGCACAGCATAGCACTGTCTGCACAGCACAGTACTGTCTGCACACATAGCACTTTCAACCAGCATAGCGCTGTCTGTACAGGACAGCATAGCACTTTCAGCCCAGAGTAGCACTTTCAGCACAGCACAGAACTGTCAGCACAGCATAGAACTGTTTGCACTGCATAGCACTGTCTGCAAAGCACAGCACTGTCAGTGCAGTGTAGCACTTTAAGCCAGCATAGCACTGTCTGCACAGCATAGCTTTTTCTGCACAGGACAGCACTGTCTGCACAGCACATCACTGTCTGCACAGCACAATACTGTCTGCACAGCACAGTACTGTCTGCACACATAGCACTTTCAACCAGCATAGCACTGTCTGCACAGGACAGAATAGCACTTTCAGCCCAGAGTAGCACTTTCAGCACAGCACAGCACTGTCAGTGCAGTGTAGCACTTTAAGCCAGCATAGCACTGTTTGCACTGCATAGCACTGTCTACAAAGCACAGCACTGTCAGTGCAGTGTAGCACTTTAAGCCAGCATAGCACTGTCTGCACAGCATAGCACTGTCTGCACATAACAGCACAGCACTTTCAGCCCAGTTTTAGCTTAGTGTTTGGAAAGAATAAGGCTGTATGTGTACTGAACTTTTGCATTCCTTCAATAAAATATATTTTTCCATAAGGCTTCCTTAAGGAGATTTTTAAAGAGCCAAGCTCACCATTTAATATGTATACAGTAAGAATAAAAATTTAAAAAGTCCTGACCACCTAATTCATTTTCACAATAGTATTTGTAACTTCCATCCTTCTTCGAAACTGTTTTCAAACATTTACTGAATGTTTACAGATGTACAATGGTTAGTTGGTTGTTATAACGATAGCAAAGACTGACTTTCTGAGCATGTGCGTTGGCAATATGGTCGCAGGATTCTGGATTCCAGTTGGTAAGGGTTTCCAAGACTCTACAATATAACTAATGAGTAGGGTCTAGGAGGTCAATGATCAATACCATATTTACTCATTTAAGTGTTGCAGTGCTCATTTCAATTTTTGGCTTTCATAGGTGTCATTAATTCTGGGGCGGCGTTTTTCAAGGGTTTTTATTCTTAAAAATGTGTTTGCCATATACTTAATGTTCAACCAATTATTGACACAAGGTAAATATAAAAGTTTTTGTATTGGTAAAAGCAGCGCACATTGGGGAGTGGCGTTTAATTGGGGCGGTGCTTAAAAGAGTAAATATGGTATCTCTGCATGGCCATGTAATACTCTCTATAACAGGAGACAAAACAAAAATGGTCTGTTACTTACCATGTTCTGGACTTTTGGTTTGTCCCTTAGATGAAGACATAAATTCCCCAGGGCTAGCAAGGTGAGGTCTAGTTGACAGAGGATGACTTCCAATAGCAGTGGGGTGATTTCTAGAACTTTCTCTTATTGAAGTGATACTTGGCAATGAAGTTGAAGATGGTAATACTTGAGTTATAGGTGAATGAAAATGCTTAAAAGGAGAATGATACTGAGATGCCAACCCTGTCTGCTCCTGGTCATTGTTGCTTGCTAGCACATGTTGGCTATCTTCATTTTTGCCTTTATATGAATAATAAGAGCTGGATATCGTTGTTCTCTCGTAACTGTACCCTTCTGGGGTTTTGATTGCTGCTTCTTCAGATTTGTTGGGTATCAAGTATGAGAAACCACTCATCATCAACTGCTGTTCCAGGGATTTTATGTCAGGTTTTTCTGTTGTTCTTCTGTCGTGTTGAGCATGTCCTGGTGATTCCTCATGCCACAGATCTTCTTCACTGGCAAGAATGTGTCTTCTTGATTCCTTGAAGATTAAAACATTACAATTGAGAAGTGGTGCTCTAGCTGTGTGTGTGTGTGTGTGTGTGTTTTTAACTTTTTGATTCAGGGCATTTTTGAAGCTTTCTAATTTTATTTCTTGACCTACTCATTCTCCAAGCCCTAGCAAAACCATATTTGGTGTTTGATTGACATTGTCCACATTTTATGCAAACGAGGTACAAAGTTCACCAGTGGCGTGATATTCTATTGAAGAAACTTTTCTTGTACGAATAACAGCAGTTTGGTTTGGAGGTATTTCGAAAAATGAAGATTTTCGGAGCCATTTTGTCCACCTACTGTATGGAGTGCAAGAGGGCATCATGAAGCCCTAAGCTTAAATCAGCATTATCTTGAAGAACTGTGATTATGCAAGGGATTTTAGTGCCAAACCTTTGTACATTCATGTACTTGGTACATTTGAGAATTTTTGGCTTGCTTATCCTATAAACTCGTAAATAGATGGATGACCAGGAACTACTTACAGTTATTGCTTTTAAAATAAAGAAAATAAAACTTATCCACAGAAAGATTCGCCAAAGTATTTTTCATTGTTAGTGGTGGAAAATATTAAATTTTGTTGTGATATCATATCAGATGTTGTTTTTTACCTGTGCAAGACCTTCTTCAGCTAAGATAACACCTACTGACTTCAGCTGACCCATGTCATCTCTAAGTAAAGATACAAGATAATATAATATATATTTAGGCACTGCCTAAAAGCGGAGCTCCTGATTTGGAAGTCACAGGGAGAACAATTTGAATGAAACTGAAAGGTAAAAATAAGATCGGGGGRAAAATGTTCAATGTTCAAAATCGCATGTCTTTCATTGAAATCGAAAATCTTGAGATTTAGGGCAAATCAAGACTAAAAAAAAGACTTGAAAAATGGTTAAGGTGAGCAGAAAACAAGCTTGCTTAATTATGTCTTTTACAGAACGAGACGAAGTTTACATTCAGTTAAACTTGACAAGAACAACTGAGACAAAATAGAAAATAATGCAAAAGGCAAGGCAAAATACAAAATGATGAATTTCTTGTCAATAAATTGGCGTTTGTAAATGTTTTTGAATATTTTTTAGCTTTTTAAAGTGAAAGTCTAGGTCTATATAATAACATCTCTCAACAACACAAATTTAAGCTCATTTTTATAATCATACTTGCTCAAACAGCTTAATAAACAGTTGAATACTTGGTTGAAAAACATACGATAGTTGTTTAAAAACAACCGAATTGTTAAAGATTTAGAAAGCTAAATGAAGGAGAAATATTTGTTGTCGTAATATGCTCTCCATGTTATATTTCCTCCAGCATTAAAATAAATTAAGCTTATCTATAGAAATACAAAAAGTTTTGAGAGAAAGTCTTTGATTTCTCTGATTCATCGAGAAAAATGCTTGTCAAAAAGAAATTATAATATACGATTGTTTGCTAAGAAACACCTGAATTCTTGAAGAACACTTCTTGATCCATCTTTGACTACATGAAAGTTTTTTTTAGATTGTTTTTTGGTCTATAACTTGTCCTAAAGCGATTTTCTTCACTGTGCATTTAAGAGCGGCATTTGTGAGTAGTTTTCCTTTGACATCAAGCGGGATTCCTGTGTTGTGTACACGGATGGACGGACAGATGTACAGATGGAAGTGATGTCAGCCAAGCCATGAAAAATCAATTCGATGGTTTACCATTTTTCCTTAAGTATGGTGCTCCGCTAATAAGGCCCGCGCGGGAGCTCTGCTAATAAGTAACATCAAAGGCTTCCCAGACTCTCAGTTCCTGGATTAGGTGATGGGTTTCCTGTGGCATTATGGCTGACTTCAGCTGTTGAAGTTTACTTGAAGTAGGGAGTTTTGAATTACGATTTAAACAAGTTTTTTTTTCTTTACCCTTTCCAAATACTGTTTCAAGATAATGTTTAATACTTACAATCATCTAAAATGTGTTTTAATATGTGGTCCAATCTGTTTTAGGCTGTCTTTTTTTGGGTGGTGAAAACTCGCTACTTGTGCTACTTTTCCTTTTTATTGGGGTGATTTTTCTCAAACTTTGAAAGAGGCTTATTGTATGTGCCAGAGTTTGAAGAGTGCATGTGATTCTTTTTTCCAGTAGAATTTGAGGAGAATGAGAGTGGGATTGCAACAGCCAAAGTCAGCCACAATGCCACAGGAAGCCAACAACCAAACTAGGAACTGAGAATCGGAGAAGTCTGTGGTAACATCAGAAATCAACCAGACAATTTTTCTCAATGATTAACCAGAAAAATGAATATGGACTGGCTACAGGGTTTTGTGGTGTACAAACAGTAAATAGGCACTTACATTAGGTACAGCATTAACTGAAAGTTTCCATTATCACGAGTAGCAGATATCCTTTGTCCTGAAGTTACAAGTTCTGTGAATCTTCTTACTGCCTTCTCACTCCATTGATCTTTTCCCTTTAAACAAAAAAATGCAAAAAACAGATTTTATTATATTTGTGCTTCATTACCTCCAGCAGAAATTTTAAAATATGTACTATCATAATATCTTAATCATACAGCTTCTCATTAATCCCATATAGGTAACTGTCCAATTATTTTCTTAACTGGACAGGTCTTGTTGATATGGGATTAATTAGGCATCTATATAATTAATAGGTAATGGGATTTCATGCTCCCCAATCAAGAAATAATTAGACTTGAAAAATTCCTCTGACTGCCAAATTGGACTCGGCCTATGGCCTCATCCAATTTTGTCAGTCCTTGGAATTTTCCTCGTCCAATTATTTCTTAATTGGACCGCATGGAGTCTTATTACATATACTAATAACTATACAGCTTCTCATTAAGCTCATATAGGTAACTGTCCAATTATTTTCTTAATTGGACAGGTCTTGTTGATATGGGATTAATTAGGCATCTATATAATTAATTTTTCTCTTGTGTAAGAAGATTATTTTATTTTTTAATCATAACATTCACATGTGACTTTCCAGTCAGAAGCCCTACAATGGCAAATATTAAAATTAATAAAAATAAGCTACCCAAGGCATTTTATCTCATACATGCATTAATTTTCCCAGTGTCCAGTTAAAAGGAATTTATAATTCTATAAAATATTTTGCTTAATATCTTCTATATGCTGATGGTGATTTAAAACATACTCTAGGTGGTTGTACACCTTCTAGGGTACAGTATAGTGCTTGTGGAGGCCATGATGTGATGTCTCCTGGTACACTACTACACAGCATATCAAGGGGGATACACTCTGCTTCACCAAAATCAAGGAAGAACACATCAACCATCCTGATAAATAAAACAATCTCTACCATCAATATTACAAGCATTGTTAGAACATGAACCTTTAATCCACCTATGCTAATCATGACTATACCTCTGACATAATCTAGTGACTTCAGCTCTTCTCCATGTTCTTGTCGCCATATGCTTGACGCAAACCACTTCTCCAACACCAGGCATATCATTCAAAGGTGCAGGAATCTGGTTATCACACCAGTGGTTCAAGGCAAACATGTAATTATCAAAACGATCCAAATCAGAATCTGAACCTGAAAGATAAATAAGACAGGGCTTAAAATAATGGCTGATCAGTCACTGGTCATGATCACAGGCCCAATTACAGTACTTTTAACTTTATCAATTTTTTACTCAACACTACTGGTTACAATAAACAGCAAGACAAAGATTTGGCTGGACAAGTCCCAGTTCTGGCCACACATTATTGGACTTCTGACCATTATTTTAAGCCCTGCCTGGGATATACCTGATTGTCTTAGCTGGGATAGTCTAACTTCACATGAACTTCATCAAACCTAATATTAAAGAAGACTGCCTTGTTATCTATTGTTTCAATTTAGTTCAGCTCATGTGAAGTTCGACGTTTGACCTGAGCCTAAAAATCAAAATAATTTGCTAGTGTACAGTGGTGTACAGTGAAAGCCATAAAAGCATGCCATAACATCAAAAATCATCAAAACTATCCATCATGTAGTCTTGGTTGCTACAGATAATAGTTAATCCGATGTCCGTGAAATCAAGATGATGAATGTCAGGCAAAAACATCAAGCATCTGTAAATATGCTACACTCTATTAATTAGCTGATTTAGAGCTATAAAATAATATTAATTAGCTGATTTAGAGCTGCAAATGAGCAACTACAGGTATCCCAGTAAAAAAATGAAATGAAACCGTGACGAGCTGGAGAGCCTATCATACGGTAAACAGCATGTAGTCTTGGTTGCTACAGATAATAGTTAATCCAATGTCCGTGATGTCAAGATGACGAATGTCAGGCAAAAACATCAAGCATCTGTAAATATGCTACACTCTATTAATTAGCTGATTTAGAGCTATAAACCAACTCATTCACACAAATAGTTCGCTCGGCAATGCAAGTCTCAATAAGACACCCAAAACATAACATACTTGTCATATATCAGGGCTTTCAATAATATTTGAAGTAGATGGATGAAACTCAAAAGTACACGTCTGTTTCCACAAATTTTACTTATTTATTAAGACTGATTTGCAAAATAGCCGGCTGTATGAAGGTAAGTACCCAGCGATAAACCGCCGGTAGCCGCCTTCTATTGAAAAAGTTATCGGTTCATACCCCACCTTTCTTCCTTACTTCAATGAGAAAAGCAGAAAGCAGCTTGTGTAAATCTCTTGGCTGGATTTCTTCCAGGTTTTGCTGCACATTTTTTGTCTCGAAATATTCAGTCAATAAAGCCAGGTCTCTCCGCCTCTTGCTTAGTGTGTTTTTGTTTTCTTGGTTTTATATAAACTCATCTACCGGCACATCTAGTGCCACAAAACGACTTGCCATTTTGTTCACATCAACAAAACTACAGAAAACACAAATTTGCTTTGGCGGGAAGCCATTCAAATGTCACAAATCTTGTTTTATGATTGGTTGGTTTGGTCAATTCTATGTTTTGATTGGTTATATTTTTACACTGTGAAAAGCTGTATGCGACGCTGATTGATAGTGGCATGCTGTGCTCATGCTACTGTATGTTAATCAGTATGATGAAATGCATTATGCAAGTATTCCCTATGCAATGAATAGAAACGAAATCTGAGACCAGCACTTTGAATGTGCTGCTTCACACCGGTATCCACCTGGACCCTCACAAAAGACATCATATCTACTTATTGGACATATACTGAAAAGATGAGAGATGGTTAAAACACCCAATCAATGTAACAATGGAAAGCTGTCAAAAATATGTCATTTTTAGTGAAATAATAAATTGGTCATTCTCATTTTTCACAGAAGACTAGAAAATAACCAAATAACTAGTTACCATTTGGGATTGTGATAAAAAGAGGTGGTCGTAAACCACGTGTCTACTGCCAATTTAGAAACGGATTGTTTAAAGGGGCACTTAGATGAAAACACCCTGATTTTGGAAATGACTTGGAAGTTGGTTAAACATATTCATATGTCCCCAACAGTAGCCAAGACACATATTTTCTTCAGAATCAGCATCGAAGTTGAGAGTAAATGAAGTCATTTACTCAACCCTATTGTTCTTTTAGTTTTTAAACCAAAGTTTCTCAACTTCAAGTGTTTCTGAAGCAAATATTTATGTCAATCTGGCTTTCATAATAGTAATTGAATCATATTATCTTCAAATATTTGAAATATTCGGGCTTTCAAAAAAAGGGGCGTTTTCATACCCCTTAAAAATCAGAGGTTTTACATATTAGATATGGCCAGGGAAAGAAAGTAAATAAAACGATATTTATAATATTACTGCCCTGATTATACATAAAGAAAGATTTTAGAGAGATATATATTGGTCGAGGCATAGCCAGGTGGATCCCCATATTAGTTTGACAATGTGATAAGGCAAACAATGGTAATAAAAGGATATAGAGACAAAAATCCGACTAATCCCACAATAGGGCACAATTATCCTCAAAAGAGGGTTAATTATCCTCCAAAGAGGCTCAATCATCCTCCGAAGAGGCTTAATTATCCTCTGAAGAGGGTGATATATGGCATGAAATGCCATTTGTTTTCCCAATATAGGGCTTTTCATTGGTTGAGAAAGTTCATTGTTTGAAGCCCTGTTTGAAGTCAGGCAGCTTTGTTTTCGGCAAAAACATCCGACTAAAATTGGAATAACACTTACAAAAGCTTTCATCTTGTTGTACAGTAATACTACATGAAAGCTGTGATAAATGAAAGATTTTACGAAAGCGCTTTATTTATACTTGAAGTCTCGAGCAGCGAAGAATGAAGACAGTCCAAGATGACAATCCTGCTTTTAAAAATGCGTCATCCCTACATTGGTTACAATTCGGAAATACCGAGATTTTGTTATTCAAGCTATGATTGGTTCCGTAGTTTATCGATATTGAAGAACATGAGTCGCTTATCCTTGATTGGCTCCGAAGCTTAATGATTGGTTCCGAAGTTTATCCATTCATCAGTTTGGGCTTCCCGTGGTGTTACTGACGGACTTACTTACACGACTCGATAGCATAGTGGCTTCGCCTCTCTAGGAGGCAGTAGCCACAAAAATTAGAAATATGAAATGTTATTGTGCTATAATAACTGTTGACTGGAAGCCTTTGCATTACATGAAATTCTATTCCAATTATGTAATTTTAATTTGATCCCATCATCAAGTTTTCCTCTTAAGGACGGTGCCTACTATTGTCCACGCACACGCGCACACGCACTGAACATCTACATTCGAGGAATTTCAACATTTATTACTCGAATTGCACGAAACAAAACAGAAAATCTTAAGTAACCCAGGCTTGTTAAAGAGATAATTTGCTAAGGATTAAGTATTATTGACAACGAATCATAAGGTTTTTTGGGCAAGTGAAAAAATGACAGACTCATAGTTCTAAAAAACCAAATCCCTTCAATAATAAAGCTTTTTACCATTTGCTTAGATTTAATCCTATAAAACTTGAATAAAAACAGACAAGAAATACATATGAAATTGAAAATTTACCATTTATTAATATCTAGGTGTGTAATTATAGTATTGAAAATCTTTTTTTGGTTGCTAAACACTTTCATCATGAAATTCTTTTACTTCGGAGTTTTCAATCTAAAAAATCATCTTATTACGTACCAAATATTTCAGAAATTCCTTTCTGCTATTAAGTAAAAAGTCAATAATAACTTCACTTCAAACCCAATAGTCTTCCTGGAACTATAAAGCTTATGAATATCGAGTTTTTCTCTGTGTTTTTTGATTGCATGGCAGGAAGCAGCATGTTTAGCTTGACATACAAACGCGCCAAAAACAGAGTTTGTCACGCCGTTTTGTATGCTGTGTAACACTTGTCACGCATTCGGCATAAGATTTATCCCTAATAATGTTCTTTAAAAATTCGTATCTCTTAAAAACGCCTGGATACCCCTATTTTTTCTTTGTTTGGATGATAAAGTAAATGCTAAATTAGCCTCGTGAAATGAAATTTATAAAAAATAATTGGTTTTGAAAAGAATATGGACACAATCTTTATGTACCTACTGATCGAAAATAGGGAGCACAAAGCTAAAAAAGTATATATATTATAGCCAACTATTAAAGTCATGGTAGAATTGGGTATATTTTAGTAAAGAAACAAAGTTTCAGTCATTTAGGACGATTTAAATTAGAAATTTCTCAAAATCTTTTGAAAAAAAAATTTTTTCCTGGCGTTAGTAAAATCATGACGTCATCACTTTTTAACGATTTTTAAGCCTTATTATTTCTTTTAATAAATGCATAGTGACCCCTACTTTTCTAACCAGAATTTGACAACCCTTTGATAGGTTAAAATTATTCACATAGTCATTTGAAAAAATAATTGATTCTCAATTAGTAGGCACCGTCCTTAAGTTAGGTATTACCGAGTACTTTCAAAGAATGAAATAAATAAATGGGGTGCCCAACTTTGTTTTAGAGCTACAGCATAAGAGATTAAAGACGTTTTTATGAGATTTTGCTATCAAAACATTGGAATGACATCATCACGATGAGCACTCGTTCATTAAGGTGGCTGCCTACTTTTGAACGTTCAAATTGAGCCCACGATGTGTGCGCGCTCAGAAACCGCTGAAAAATCTACAAGATCTTATTGAAGAACCCTACGCGTTTTGAGCTTCAACAGGGCAAAACCCTCAAATTTTGCACGGGACTCTATATTTTTTGATAGATCATTCGAAAAAACTCCTAAAAATCTAGGTCATATCAACATTTTAGGAAAAGTTTAAATCAGGAACACGTGAAAAAATGGATTTTTGTAGGGATTTTTGTTCGACTTTATGAGATTTTTTAAGAGCACCGAAACTACAAAATATGACAAATCAATGTATCTTTCTGTCTTTTTGTCGAAAATGTCCATGTATTTTTGTAGAAGGATTGACTAGCCTTCGTTCGTGCAATCATATAGTCTGCAAATAACTATTATCTTATTAATCTTAATTTTTTTCTAATCACTTCCGGTGGCGCAATTTTTACTCCAAAAGCTCGTGTGTAGGCTTCCATTATATGCTGATTATCTCGAAAACGAGCTCGGGACACCCTATTTTTCTTTCCAGATTTGGAATCAGCATTAAATTTCAATTCGGGAAATCGAAGTTTTAAAAAAAGCTTAAATCAATTTCCAAAAGTAGGCAGTTACCTTAAGTTCATGTGTACAATGTAGAAAAGACGTGTGCAAACAATGCCCGTGAGTGTCCTTAATGATATATCTCAGCTCTACAATTTGTATCTCCTATATTAGGGCAGGTATGTACAGTGGCTGTAAGGTCGAATGGGTGGGAAGGGTCCTCAGAGGTCTAGTGACCTTTATAAAGCATTAATTTGGTAGTATTACCTTTAGTGTTCCATAACGAAGGCTTATTTAAATCGAAAAAAACTTCTATTTAATGTTATTTTAGTATTTTTCGTGTCTTTTGTAAAGGGCTCATATTTCGATTTTTAGCAAAATTGTGCAGTGGATTTCAATTCAATATCCAAGGGCAGTAATATCGGTTTTTAAGTAAAACTTAGACGATAACGATTCTCTTTATCCGATATGAGTAAGCTCATAACTTAAATTGAAGGCCCAGACATGTGATACTACGAGAACAAAATGCAATGTTGACGTGCATAATTTATGACCGGCCTGCAGGATACAAGAGTTTATCTTACACAATTAAAATTATTCGGTTAACATCTTCTTACCAAGTTGTGCCCAGAAGTGGTTCACATCGATGATGCATGTAACACGAACAAGGCACATTTGGCTATCGTTGGTGCTGCTCTTATCCAGCTCTTTCTTCAATGGCGGAACAGAAGCCACAGCTCTTCCATCGTATTCGCTGCTATACCCGGAGCCAGGTGAAGGTCCCCACCGTCCTAGTGCACCTCTGCCACGACCTCGACCTGCCATTCTTTTTACTAGTCGCTAGAGAAGATATTTTCGTGGCAACCAAACCAAGACTTTACATTTTGGTTTGCCTTGAAGGAAGCTGTAACCATGTGCGTCTGTCTGGGAAACTTGAAGTCGAAGTGAGAGAAATTTTCTCTCTTGCTGTGCTTATTATTGTAATAACAATAAGTTTCGTTTTATATTATGGTTAATTCTAATCCAAATTTACTGTTAAAGCATAATTTAATCTAGTAAAGGAGGATTAATTTTCGCATTTTTCAACTGATCTTTTTGGATTTCGTTGCGAGGAAAGCTTTTTTGAAGACTGGGGCGAGAGCAATATTTTTTCTGGGGGTAGAGGTGGGGGAATTGTAGGGAGGGGTGGTTCTAGAGACAAAGGGTTTCTAAGATAGATTATTAGCACAATCTCGTACCCAGAGCCCACGTTCCTCATGGTCAGCACCGAGAAACGTTTTCTCGGTACTGACCAAGAGGAACGTGGGCTCTGGGTACGAGATTGAGATTAGCAGAAATGCTTTAATAACAAATTGACAGCAGATTTTTATGTGTCTGTCCTCTTTATTGATAGGAGCAGGCGTAGCTCAGTTGGTTAGTGCGCAACCTTCAGAGCTTGAGGTCCATGGTTCAATCCTTAGGATCTCCACGTCTGTTTCGACTTCTCTCTAATCTGTGTAGCTTCAGCTTTGAATACTCTTAAGACAGAGCACTGATGGAGAGAGGGGGTAAAGTGTGCACCGTCGGCTTCCATTGATAACAGTTGAATTTCAACTGAAGGAACTACCGACGTTAAAAATAGGTACTTTACCTTTACCTGATGATAAATTGCGTCATCACATTGTCAAAGTAGTGTGGATCCACAAGGCGTAGCCGAGTGGATCCGCATACTACTTTGACAATGTGATGGCAAAATTTATTGTCAATAAGAGGACAGACATAAAAAACTGATGTCTATTTGTTAAATAGAGCTTGAAATATAAAATTCAAAAATCGAACCCATGAGGTTACTGGTGCAAAGCTCTCGCTACCTGAGCTATCAACAAAGCCACAGTCAATTTATTAAATATTGTTTAAGAGTGGTCCCTGATGTCCAATGTAGGTAGCAAGCCTTGAAAAACCGGGGGGCAATAAGTCACGCAACATGTTATCACAAAGAAAACTGGGGAGACAGATGCCCCCTTCCTCTGTGAGGGCTTCAGCTGTGTCCACCATGTTTCAGAGCATTATCAATATCTAAGTGATGTGTCTAAATATGTCTTTTTCAAAGAAGGTTATAAGGAAAATGCATGGCTTTTCTTCCTTTTCTTATGCCCACGTACCCTTCCATTGTTAAGCTCAGGTACTACCCAGATAATGCTCTCCTGAGTACATATTCCATTAGCCTAGAATTGAATTAAATTAATACTCACACACAAACAAAAGAATCAGTTTGAATAAAATTCAAAGGTATGGTCTTTTAATTTGTTCTTCCTTTTATTTATTAATAATACTATATGTATAATTGTACATTAGTGTGATTTTACTTCATCTTTGAAAAAAATAGTAAATATAGTAATTTTATACATCATTGCATTGTTTGCTTTTTCCTGAGTGTTTGCTTTTTCCTGTTTTAATCACTTAAAGCTGTATTAAGCAACTTTGTTTCACAGCCAAGTAAAATCAATCTATCTTAGTTTTATTCTGGAGGTAAGTGGGTGCTTAGAACTGATTAGGAATTAAGTCTGCACCAATAGTGAGACATTCAAGTGCTGGTGTATGACTTGATAGCTCTCTGCTGGACTCATTACCAACCATGGCACTGAAGGGTCAAATACAAATCCTAACTCTGGACCATAAAATGAATTCCAGCATCAAGCAAAATATTCAAATTATTTTTAAAGAGAAAACAATTATTTTGTATTCTTAAATCGAAACTTTTTTAAAACATAGATCTTTGCTAATGGTGATACAGTCATGTGCTTATTCTCCTCGCCCCATGTAAGGGAATCCGGACTTATGGTGGATTCCGGATTCCAAGAGCTGGATTCTGGATTCCGAGACTCTGGATTACRGATTCCAAGGGTCTGGATTCCGGATTCCAAAACTTTTGTATTGCGGATTCAGGATTCCATATCGTTAATTTTCAGTTACTTTCTCTGAAAATTATATTTGATATACTTGCCAGTATAAGTAGAATCGTTAATCAATTAAATCAGCATCCGATGACAGACATTCTTGGTGGACATATTACACAGTGGGGGAGGGGCTACATCAGTTCAGTCTAGGTTGTGGCGATAGCATTTGAGTGAATACCTTGAATTTCAAAGTAGCGGATTCTGGATTCCAAAAGGGTGGATTCCCGATTCCATTATGAACTGGATTCCAGATTCCAATGCATGGATTCCGGAATCCAGAGTGCTGGATTCCGGATTCCAAAGCCTAAAATTTCGTGGATTCCGGATTCCCTTACATGGGGCGATTCTCCCATCAATTCTCTTGGTCTTAATTGATGATGTCATTGCTTTGTGCTTTGTAAATGGTAATGGTAATGTGAGTACTTTAAAGCATTAACATAATCCAAATCATGATGCTGAAGCCAAGTATTTTAAAGGTACAATGTATCCCTGTCCAATGGAAATAAATATCAAGTAAACATTTTTCTCAATGGAGATTGATAATCTTGGCATTGCAGTGAGGTCTAGCACCAACCCCTTCCCAGAAAGATATGGTTATTTTCTCGTACTGTCTAATTGGTTGCACCCAAAGATATCAAACTGAAAGACAATTTTCCTCAGTCATTCCATTGAACTTTCTCTTCAACTTCAACAAAATTTAACATTATTCATTTTGTACCTTTTAGAGCACAGAGACTGAAATTCAAGACTTTAAACCCCCTTTAAGAAAAGTAAAGCTATGGGTCCAGCTATTTATAAGTTAGGTACTAGTTCCATTCCATTGTAACATGATGCTGGGTGTATTTGACGATTCCCAGGAAAAAACACCAAATATCTTGAAAAAATTGCTATTTTTCACCACACACTACTATAGAAAAAGTGGATGAATTTGTCTTAATGTCAGTTTTTTTCTACAAGTTGGACACCTGCTTTGTGTCTTGATGGCATTTTTAATGCATTTATCACAAAAGACATGGCCACAAGTTGTTGAACTCAATTGTCTTTTTCTCTTGATCTGTGGATGGAATGAGAAAGATAATGTTCCACATATTAATTAGAGCATAATAACAAGCAGCGCCTAGGTAGCAAGGAAAATTTGTTGTACAGAATTTGTGTAATTTTAAAAAAAACATTCTTAGCTGCAGCTATTATAAGTTTTTAGCACAATGTTCAAGAAATCAATAATGAAGGACATTTTGGTTTTTGCAAGTCTACAGCATACAGACTGTAAAGTGTTCAAAAGTCTACAGTGTACATGTAAATACATGTATCAAATATGACTTACTAAGTGGACATCATCCAGACATATTGGGCATGTTATACTTTTATCAAACTGTTCTTTCTCCTTATTTCTCTTGCTCTCCCCACAACTTGTGGATCCATTATAACTAGAGATTATATAAAGGGACAGAATTAAATAGGCTGGTAGTATGGATTCAGGGGGCATTGGACATGGGAAACAAATTATGTAAAAAAAAACAAAAGTGTGAGGTTAGGAAGATTCACTAAATTTTTCACATCTAAGAGATGCACATTGCTTTACATCTATCTATTGCTGTTTGTCTCCCAATTCTTAAATAAATATAAAAATAGCAAATATAAATCCAATAAAAAGTATGTTATGACAAAATATTTTTTGATTCTAAAGCCCCCTATATTTACGAGAATAACAGCTGTAATTAGTACGTTCCAACAAGGTTATCTTAAAAATGTCAATCTATACCTTCAAAACATTGAAATAATAACATCTTTTTTGTTTAAAATTAAAATATTATTCCTATTTGTTATGCTACTTTATATTTTGATATGACAACGTTCTCACAATTAGGTGTATGTCATCAAAAAAATTAATATTCATGTAGCTAAATTATAATAATTAAGCCCTCCCTTTCAAGTTGTTTCCTGAAAATGTAAAATGTTCCATAATAGTTTAGAAATAATTTATCATTTGCCATTAGCTAAAGGGAATGAAGAGCTTTTAAGTTCTGACATATCTTTGGGTCCTAATGCTCACACACAGAAACACCAAAATAAGCCAAAAAATGTTCTCAATAATTTACATGTAACTTACCACCTGAAACAATTATGGGAACTTTGCAAAACCAATCATGTCACAAAGAAAACTGCATTTTCGTTTTGGACTCAAGTTTTTTTGGTTTTTTTTTTTCATTTTTTCACATTGCACTTTAAAGCTCTTTAATTGTAAAGTCATGTGGTTACCTGTTATTATTTACACTATGTTCCCCAGCAAGGTTTTCTACGCTGATATCATCATCAGCATCACATATATGGTTTTCTTCTGCTGTACTATGTTCTTGGTTGGAACTACATGATGGTGTTACTTGGAATCTGCAAGATGGTCTTGACTCAATCACAGATCTCCTTTGATAAATTTTATTGACACTCTGACCACAAAGAAACAAAACAAAATCTATTAATATTATACTGTTGTAGTAATATTAAGAGTTCAATTATCGTAGTATTTGAGATCAAGAAATCAATGTAATTAATTGTCAACCCAGTAAAAATCAAGTATGTTTTACAGGGTTGGGCAGTTTTTGAATAACTTTGAAAGGGTCACAGCACAAACATGGTTGTGTCACTACGTGGCATATGCCAGACAAATCACAGTGCACAAGGATTTACTCTTCAACCAATCAAATTAAGCTAAAATATGGCATGAACACAGTGCGGACAGTGTCACGCCAAGGTCGTGGCTCTGCCAGACCAATCACATTCCACAAGAAAAAATCAGCCATTCCATGGCAAAGGACACATTAGGACCAAACATTTTACATACAGCCTTTGTTCACAAAACTTTAGTATAGTTTACTTATAAATGCAAATATATTGATATATTATTTTATTCTTACCACTATTATTGGACTAGAATCACTCTGTTCCACTGATTCTCTTGTCAAGTCTACAAAGTTACTTCTAGTTGGGGAATTTGGTTCCAATGTTAAATCAACTATATCTGAAGAATCTTGAAGGCAAAAAAATACATTGAAATATATAGTAATAATAATATAGAAATATTGTAAAGTAATATGCAATATGTACAGAATACAGCTTATTTAGTTTCTATTTACTGTGTGTACAAAATGTTTATATTGTTAAAATTGTGCATTCTTTACTTTACTGTTGGCATTTGTGATTACATGTATTTAAACACTGATACGAGGCTAACCCTGTGTAAATAAATCTGTAATCGAGGAACAAAAGTAATTTGGAACTCGAAGCTGGTCTATTTAATCTAATTTTCAGTAACATATCATTTATTTCATAAAGTAGTTATTTTCCTTTGTCTCTTTTAAAGTAGTTTTCATGTTTACAGTGTATTTGTATGGAAAAGAATAAGCAAAAAATAAGATTTAATGCAAAATTTAATGTGGGATCCCTGATTTTTCATGTGATTGCACATGAAATGAATATCAGCAAAAGTAAACAGCATCTGAGTTTTTTATATGTTTTAAAGTGATTAAAAAAATCGCTAATTATTGTTTTATTTCTCTTATTGTTCATTCGAATCATGCAAATGTTTGTCGAACAACGCTATAGAATATAACATTGACCCTCATGATTGTCCAAACACATTATAGATTGTCAATGATTATGCTAATAGCACTAATGAATTTTCACTTTTGGGTAAATGATTGTCCATAAATTCTATTGTTTGTCATTTGGTGTTATTGAAGTTAAATTTCGCGCAGAAGAAAATACAATCCGCATGAATGTACAAACACGCTATTGATTGTCCATTGATGTCCATGAATGTACACGCATATTCAGTTGTCGTTATTGAAAGTTGATCCGCGCTAATGATGTTACTTGTGGTGTTGATGAAAGTAGATTACACATTATTGATACAACTATTGGCACAAATGAATGTACATTTTCTGTTAATGAACAGCAAAAGGTGTAGTATTCTTTATAACAAACATGTCTTTATAAATATAGAATATTAATGAAGAGGTTTTTATCAGGTAAGGTCCATACAAGTGATGTATATGGTCAATATAATTGGATCAGAGGCACACAAATTATTTGCGAGTTTTTTTAATGTATTTAACAATACCTCTTGGAAGTGCTGGGGAACTCAAATCTATTACTTCATGCACTTCTGAAGTTGGAAATCTTTCACCTAACAAATTGTCATCAGAACCATTATCTGAATCAAGAAGATCCCTGTCTGAAGTGAGACTGTTAGAAGAATCTGTTAAACCACCACTAAATGAATGATAGTTTTCAGTTGAACTTGAGCTTGATGGACTTTGTACTGGTGGAATATTCAGCAGAGGCAACTCTAGGCTGTTATAATCATCAAATATTGCATTTGAATCTGGTATAAATCTTGCTCTTTTTGGCTGTCCAAAAGAAAAAACATAAAAAGCATTTTAATCAATTATAACATGCCATGAAAGGCTTGAAATAGTGGCCTGCCAAAGGCCAAATGCCAGCCAAAATTAAGGGTTTGGAAGGCAAAAAAAAAAAAAAATTATGAAGTGCCTAAGGGATATTAAAATTGCAGGCGAAATTTACATATCATCCTTCAATGTTTCTTTATCTGGTGATTTTTCCTTTCTACAAAATTCGTTTCACCAGTCAAAAAAAAAAAAAACAGTGGCAGGCCAAATGTTTTTCCTATTTCGAGCCCTGCCATGCCATGCATGCAGCCATATTGGAAAACAGAGCTGTGTCAAATTTTACATGTACACAGTATTCACACATATTGTAATAATGAAGGAAAGCTAAGTAAGAATACCAAAAACTAGGATGATGATGCCATGTCAGTAATCTTTTCATAGTTAGTAAGAATTAATGGACTATATTGTTTAGGCCTGCTAGATAGATTACCATGTCCTTTGCAATCAAACATGGCTCTCAACAAGTGATCAAAATGTAAGCCCCTTACATTAACATATATAATTTATGTACTTTATCTTCCAAACAAACAAACAAGTTTATCAAACTCTCAAACAACCTCTGACCTGAAGTAATTCACAATGTAGAGAATGACACTTGGAATATTTAGCATTGGCTCTCGTGGAGGGAAGGAAACTGGACAATTTGAAAAGAAACTCACTCACATTGATATAATGATATTTCCAGGAATATCAAACCCAATTGATAAGGAGGTAAGGAGGTGAGTGTACTACAACTACACCATACACCCTTTATCTCCTAAATCAGTTACAACACGTAATGCAAAGTCCAGGAATATCAAACCCGGCCAATGCCAAGGATGTGAGGAGTTGAGTGCACTACAACTATAATAAAGCAAGTCTTCTCACTATTAATAGATAAAATCTGTGCATAATAAAATAAAATCATAGTATTACTCGTGTTGCACTATCCAGTTGATTTTCATTAGCCAAAGAATCCATGAAATCAGTAAGATGAGCAATGCTATTGCTAGATGATTGATTGTCCATATTATTTGTGGAATTATCTGGTAAGTCCTCCTCGTCTTGTAAGCCTTCATGTTTAGCCTCTGTTGTGTTGTTACTTGTGTTGTTCTCCATGGATGGTTCAGGTTTTAATTCATACTGTCTTTGCTCTTCTTCTTCTTCGGAGTGTATTAGTGCTGAATGTTTTCTTTTCTGCTGTTTCTTTAGTGTAAAAAAAAAACACAAACTTTCAGCCTAAACTGTAAATACAGCTATTTTTTGTTATGATAAGGGGATATACTGTAGTAGTCATTTCTGTGAGAGAAATTATGGCTACATTCAATATTGGAAAACATGAATATCCGTGGAGAGATGGATTGCAGAACAAACAAAACAGACTTTTAACAAATGTAGTAGAACTATAGAGTTGAAGGTGAAAAATTCTGAGTCATTTTAGCTGAGTCATTTAATTGCGCGCCATGTTTCGTCATTTCAAGTATGTTTGTCAGCTTTATAAGAAAGGCCAATGATTGACCCTCGCCTCTGTAAGAAAAAATCTTATAAATATAGATTATTATCAAACATTTATATTATGTAAGGAAAGATTATTAAGTTTTATAATCGATAGAAGTGAAGCTCGACGTTAGTACAAGAATGATCAAAATAGTCCATAGAAATACTGAAGCTATACATTGAAAGGGAACTCACCCTAGGCATCACACGGATATATGGTCGAGGAACTAAGCTTAATGAACTTCATCCACTATTGAAAAGATAATCTTATCAATAAATGACTTGCTTGGAGTTGAGAAATACGAGGACCTGGTTTCCATTTTACTCTTGGCCTCTTCTGTTACATTATGCGACCACGATCGCAACAATAGCAAACTTCATCCATCTAGTCATGCGTTATAGTCATTTCACAGGAAGCCCAATAGCCAAAGAAAAGGGGAGGACAACTTTTTGGGGGGAGAGGGAGGGGAATTACTTTTTCAGTGCCGTTTGGGAAAGGGCTCTAATTTTTGAACAGACCTATCCCCAGTCAATTAAGGGTTTGCATGATTTCAGTCAGTACATAGTTTCCACATGCATCTGGAAAAAATGGTATTTATTCACGGCTTTATCACACTGATATCGCCCCGAAAAGTATGAAAATAACATATAAAAACGTTTATAGCTGGTATTCCATTGATTGTTACATAAAGTTTGTATTTCAATTCCGAAATTTGAAATCTTGAGACCGAGTCATTGAACAAATTATGAATTAACATTGTGGTCAGGCGGATAAGTGCAAAATTTCCAAAAATCGTTCACTTTGTGAAGAAAGCACCAAATTTGGTACAGTTTTTAAAAAAGCTTATGGTGTCCTTAAAAGATCCTATGGAGGCATCGCTAAAAAGGGCATAGGGTATTTACAAGGGGACTTTGCATGAAAACGAGGCAAAAATCCAAAATCCATGTTCCCTTTAATTAAAAAGGTACCAAATTTGGTACAGTTAGAGCTTTTGTCGTCCTAAACACATTCAGATGTAGAATCAGTGCTAAACCTATTATAGGGCATTTAGAGGGTAAATTTCAAAAATCTATGTGAACTTCGCTAAAAAAAAAAAATACCAAATTTGGCACAGTTAGAGCATATGGTCTCTTAATGACATTCAGATATAGAGGCATTGCTTAAAACCGCATATAGGGTATTTAGTGTGACTTTAACACGGAAACGAGGCAACAATAACAAATCCAGGATAAGACCAGCTATACTTGTTGACACGGTTTACTCTTTTGGTTCTTGGCTGAGCAAATCCCACTTTGCAGACTTCGGTCGTGGCAGACAAGTCATCATTACCAAAGGCGACCAAGTGTTATGTAGCCCCTCGTCCTTTGACACATTGGGTTTGGATCCATGTAATCACGAGGAAGCCGACACTAGAATTATCGTTCATGTTGCAGATGCTTTTCAAGCAGGGTAATCAACAGCCTTCCAATTACATCGAAATATGGGTTTTATTTGGCACAGGCACAAATTTCAGGTCATTTGCCGTTCATGATATTGAAAACTCCCTAAGTCCTGACAAATTAAGATCTTTACCTGTATTAATTTTATGCCCTAGCAGGATGCGACACAGGATAGCCAAGAAGACGGCATGGGCAACCTGGATGTTGCATGATGAAGTAACTGCCGCTTTCCTTGAATGCTCAAGGAGCCCAGATGGTAAAAGTGATGAGTGTTTGAAGAAGATAAAGCGGTTTGTCGTTCTAATGTATGACTGTGCCAGTGCAAAGTAACTCATAAATGAGGCACGTAAACAGCTCTTTGCCCAAAAAGGAAGATCCCTCCTACACAGGCAGCTCTTATACAACATATTAAAAGGGTGGTATTCCAAGGAAGACATTGCTGGATACAAGCAGTTTACCTTCTCATGACATTGCCTTGTCCCAGTGACTGGGGATGGAAGTAATCTCCTGTTGGATGGACACCTCTGTAGACAACCCTTCCTGATATCTCAAAATCATGCGATGCTCTCATTCGATGTGACTGTATAAAAAAGGATGCAGATCTCGGTGTTCCTGTGTCAAAGCAGCAGTGAAATGTACAGCACTTTGTGTGTGTGGAGGAGAATGTTCGACAGAATAATTGGATTAATAAATATATCAATCAATCCTCCGTTCTTATGACATATTGATTCAAAATTTTCATGGGTCTGTCATCAGGAAGATCCTGATTCTGGTCCTCAGGGAAACTACTGATGGAACACTGATCTTCAGGGATACTATTGATAGAACACTGATCTTCAGGGAAACTATTGATAGAACACCAGGGGCGGATCCAGGATTTGTTCAAAGGGGGGGTCATAGTATTGATTGAGGTTCCTTGTTTGGCGGGGAAATTTCCCACCAAGGTACTTGTTTGGCGGGAAAGTAGCAAAGGGTTCCCAAATGAAAAGTTTTACGAAACTTCTCCGATGGTGTTCGTTGCCACTCGAGCTGGCGAATTTACGAGTGACTTGTCAGGCTTAATTATATGCTAATCCTTTGCTAATCCCTGCTATTGTTCTTCAACTTTAGTACCGAACAATAGGGCATTTCTTGATACGGGAAGTAGGTCTTATGATAATGATTATTTGCTGCAGGCGAGCATGGTTGTTTCAGGTTCCACACACGGCGTATAGAAAAAAGGCTAGTGAAATGTGTTCGGCACCCCTGTTTTAATAAAACTCGCGATGCTGTTGGTGTTGTCATGAAAATAATAATGATAATAAATCACGATGGCTCTGATAGGGGGGGGTTGTAACCCCCAAAACCCACCCCTAGATCCGCCACTGAACACTGATCTTCAGGGAAACTACTCAAGTGATGGAACACTGATCTTCAGGGAAACTACTGATGGAACACTGATCTTCAGGGAAACTACTGATGGAACACTGATCTTCA